TAAATGCACAAGATAAAACCTGTAGGACTACACACTGAAATACAGTGATACATATTCTACATAACCAACAACAAATTGATGGACCCTGGGAATCAGGGTAGACCTGAGTTCAAATACAGCCTTGGATACTTACTGGCTGTGTGACCCTGGGCACACCCACTTAGCCTGTCTGCCTTAGTGTGCCCATCTGTAAAATGGGAACCAAAATAGCACCTACCTCCCAGGTCTGCTGGGAGGCTCAGATAAGGGAATATTTGTGAAGTGCTTATCCTGGTACCTGGCACATAGTAGGGGCTTTATAAGTGCTTGTTCCCTTCCATCCTTTCTCCACATCTAGCATTCTTTCCATAGCAGAATGGAAAGAGCCTATCTTAGTTTGCTAAACTGGCTTTTTTTCTTCTTTTTAAAATTTTTTTTTTTGTTATGAGAGTTGGCTCGTTGGGAGGTCTACACTGGGAATCATCAAGGGAGAAGGGGGAAAGAGAGACAATGGGAAACGTAGGTGATAGTAAAACAAAAGGTATCAGCAAAAATTATTTGAAAAGGAGGATCACGTCTTGAGTGTCTCAGTGTTTTAGCAAACTCTCTAAGACTAAGATAGGGAGAAGGTGCCAACCTGCACTGGTGGTGGGTGTTTTCTCATCTGAGACTTCTGTTTAAACCATTGAGATCCCAGGTCCAGTACCACTGGAGAGGCACTCACACAAGGCTTCTGACCCCCGTCTGTGTCTGGGACCAGCCTCCGGGCCCTTCTCCAGAGCCACGGTTTTCAACCCGTGAAGTCAAATCCACTGAATTACAAATCCAGCTAATCATCCTGAAATAGAGAAATAGTTTGAAAGAACAAACAAGTTCCCGGGCCTCAAGTTAAGAGCTCCTCCCTGGCTTCTCTAGCAGCTTGCAGGATTAGGGAATGTAGAATGTGTATGTGGTGCTTCCCAAGCCTTCGAACTCCATGCCAATCTCTGCTATTGTCATCATTCATTCATTGCCTGGGCACAAAGAGCTGGCTGTGGCGATAGGTCTGCAACATTAGCTTTGTGTGAAGATACAACAACAACAACAAAAATCAGATCAAATGTCTTGAAAATCAGAAGAGGGGGCCCCCCAGTTCCAAATCCCACCCCCCAATAACCTAGTCACTGAACAAAGATACTGCAAAGAAACTTTTCATCTGCTGTTCAGTCCTAAAAAGGGACCTGTTCCTTTCACAGGATGAAACAAATGAATGCTAACTCTCTGGCGTTGGGAAGATGTCAAAGAAACAAAGCATTCTGGGACGCTTTGCCCCTGGCCTTTTCTTCTCTTACTGAGAGTGTTTCTGTTGCTGTTCTCCAGATTGGGGTGGGGGAGGGAGGTGGCAACCCCGAGTTTCTCCTGCCTCTCTGATGATCTGCCAGATGGAGTCAAGGGAAGAAGTGGAGACTGGCTCTGGCAAAGGGAGCTGGGGCTCTGAGGAGTGGGCTGAGCGGTCCTTGGCCCTGGGTGGCAACAGTCTCTTCTCTCTGAAGTTGAGTACTTTTGCTCCTATTCTGGTAAAGAAGGTTGGGAAGGAGAGGACTCGGGTCCATATTCCACCGCCACTCCTCACTACCCAAACAACTTTGGATATGTCATTTAACTTCCTGGACCTCAGTTTCCCCATCTGTAAAATCAGACATGGAGAAGGAAATGGCAAACTACTCTAGCATCTTTGCCAAGAAAATCCCAAATGGGGTCACAAAGAGTCAGATGTGACTTAAAGAACTGAACAAGAAAATGAGGGAGATAGAGGATGCAGTGGGGTCACGAAGACCTGAGTTCAAATCCTGCCTCAGTTTCCTCATCTGTAAAATGGAGATAATAAGAGCATCTGCCTCATGGAGCTGCTGTGAGGATCAAACGAGATACCACTCCATAAAGGCCTTTGCAAACCTTGAGGCACCCCTCTTATCTTTTTAAACATAATAGCAGCTAGCATGTACATAGGGCTTATGCATTTAGGTCCTGGTTAAGCTAATCAGTGTTGAGTCTCAGCAGGAGTGGACCGGGCTGGCTTTCCCAGAACATCATCCAGCAGCTATGCTGGCCTAGGTTTTGAAAAGTGTATGATGAAAGAAACAAAGAAACAAAGAGATAGAAAGAAAAGGAAAGGAATGAGAGAGTGCCTCCCCCTCCCCCTGCTTTTTGGCAGAGGTGGGGGGCTACAGGTGCAGAAAGCTGCATATGATGTCAGACTGTTGTCAATATCTTAGTTTGCTAAACTGGGTTTTTTTCTTCTTTTTAAATTTTTTTTTTGCTATAAGGGTTGGCTCATTGGGAGGTCTACACTGAGAATCACCAAGGGGGAAGAGGAAGGAGAGACAATGGGAAAGACAGGTGATAGTAAAACAAAAGGTATCAGAAAAAAGTATTTGAAAAGCAAGAACCAAGGTCAGAAATCACTGGTTCGTCTGAAGCACAAAATGGTGGCTTTTTTTTTTTGGCAATGGGGTTAAATGACTTGCCCAAGTGTTATGTGTCTTGAGGCCGGATTTGAAGTCAGGTCCTCCTGACTCCAGGGTCAGTGCTCTATTCACTGCGCCACCTAGCAGCCCCTAGGAGACTTTTTTTTTTTAACATGGTAGAAGGAAGGTGCCGTGTTTGGTGTTGTTGGCTGGGCTGATGATTTCACTGGCGTGAAGGAGCTCCCTCAACCTACTCAGCCCCTTGGCATCTCAGAGAGAGGTTGAGGCATAGAGAGAAGGCTCAGAGACCTGCAAGCAGGTGCAGGCAGGGGCAGGATTTGAACCTGGGGCTTCCTGACTTGGAGGCAGGCTCCCTCCCCACACTATCACCCGGCCTCTGGTGCCAGGCTTCAGTGATATAAGAGGATGTTAAATCTGAGGATTTTTTGCTTTCAAAAGACTAAGACTAGATTTTTGGCCCCAGACACTATGCGATTCCCGTTCTTTTTGGCGATAATAACACTAATAACATCAACAGCTAACATTTATAACACTTAGCCTGTTCTAGGCTCTGTTCTAGGCTCATTTTATCTTCACAACAGCTCTGGGAGTGAGGTACTATTATTATCCCCATTTTACAGATGAGGAAACAGGCAAACAGAGGATTTTTTTGTTTGTTTATATTTTTTTCCCACTTTTGTTTTTAACTGACTCGCCCAGGGTCACAGAGCTAGTGTCTGAGTTGAGATTTGAACTCAGGCCTTCCTGACTGCAGGTCTGATGCTATAATGCTATATCCCCCTTGATACCTAACTGACCCTACACTTTCTGAAAGTTTCAAGTGTTTCCCAAATTGAAAGTGTTTCTGTATGTGCTGTCTCATGTGATACGAACATGCATCAGCAAGCCAGTATTTCTGCAGTGGGAATTCCTTCCACCAGCTGATTGCAACCCTAGGCTAGGACTTCATAGATAAGTCCCAGGGGGTTTGCTTGAAGGTCAGAGGTTTTAAGTGACTCACCCAGGGTCACACAGCTTGCAAGTGGCCAGATTCAATGGCAACTCTATAAACCCAGCACTCAACCCACAATCCTTGGCTGCTTGTTCATTCTCATTTCATAGGATCACAGGTTTAAGACCTGAAAAGGACCTTAGAAGCTACTAAGTCCAACCTCTTCATTTTACAGATAGGAAATTGAGGCAGAGGTGAAGCCACTTGCCCAGAATCACACTGTTAGGAAGCATCTGAGGCTGAATTTGGCCCCGGGCCTTCCTGACTCCAAGGTCAGTGCTCTACCCACTGAGCCAGGTGGCCCCTTGAATGACTGAACACCGTAGGACTGTGTTTATTTCTCTGTTTGGCATTACCTCATTTTTGACCCTACAATAATAACCCCACTTTGCCAAACAATAGTGTGTCAGGTTCATGATTTAGAATAGAATTAAGTTCCCTTGTTTGAATATTAATTTGTGACTCAATCTGAATCCATTTATTCTTCATTTAAAAATTTTCAGGTTAGCAATTTAACTGCCTCTGCTAAAAAAAAAAGTTAACAACCTTTTTAGGTGTAGGGGTTGGACCCCAGGATCCAGTAACACCAAAGGCATGAAGGTCCTAGGCTCTGAGGGGAGCACCAGACCCAGAAAAAGAAATGTCCCCTCCCTCAACCACTTCATCACTTCAGTGGAAGGATTATGGATAAAATATAAGCCCTTCTCTGACATTTGCACTGGGGCTCCAGCCTGTCTTTCCTAGCTGATTTCACCTTCCTATATATCTTATGAATTTGGTATTCCAGTCAAACTCATGTAGTTGCTATTTCTGAACCACAAAATTCATCTCTCATCTCCAGGTCTTTGCCCGGGCTGCGTGCCCTGTGCCTAAAATGCACTCCCTTCCCCACCTTTGTCTCTAGGAATTTCGGCTTGCTCAGTTCAAATGCCACCTCCTACACAAGGCTGAAACAGATCCCCCCAGCCCCTACTGAAATCCTTGACACTCCACTCACTATAAAAATACTTTGTCTCTATTTTGAGTTTGCTTGTGTACTTTGTATATCTTTTTGATTTCCCATGTACCTATCATTTCCTCCCGGTAGAATGCAAACTCCTTGAGGGCAGGGACTACCTTTAGACTCTTTTTTGTATCCCCAGTATTTAGCACTGTGCCTACGTTAACTATGAGTTTATTAACTAACAGGCAACAGCGCTGTTATCTGCTATGTATCTGTGTAGACTAGATTAAATACTAACTAACAGTGTTCTAGGTCCCACAGCAGATCTCTGAATGCTGCCCTCTGTGTGCACATGCAAACCTTCCTCCCACTCTACCATACCATAAGGCAGGGGGGGTTCTTAACCTTTGGGGGAGTCATCTACCCCTCTGGCAGTGTAGTAAAGACAATGGATCCCTTTTCCAAATCACATAAAGTATATTGACATCATATTGAAATGGACATGTCACCACGGCGTAGAGCAAGTGCCAAACAGACACGCAGAGCTGGGTAAGGCTGAGGCTTGGGGGGCTGAAGAAGAGAAGCGGGAAAGGGGCCGGGCAGCGAGCTGCCCTCTTACCTTGGCCAGCAGGCTCTGCATGTGCTGGATCTCGCTGTTGGCCTTCAGCAGCTCCTGCTTGAGCTCCAGGCAGGAGCGCTCCAGCTGGTCCTTCTCGGCCCGGGCCACCTTGAGCTTCTCCTGCACCTCGGACGCGTCCCTCACGTGGCCCGTGGCGCTCAGCTCGGCCGTCTTCTGCTGCTCGCTCTCCAGCTGGGCCCTCAGGGAGGCGTTCTCGATCTGGAGCGCCTCCAGGCTGACGCGGCAGTCATCCAGAGCCTGGGCTGCCAGGCCGCCTTTGTGCCGCTCCGCGTCCAGAAGCCCACTGAGCTGCGCGTTCTCCTCCTGAAGACGCTTAATGAGCTCAGCGGCGCCCTGGTGCTCGCCTTCCATCTTGCGCAGGCTGCAGGTCAGCTGCTGCTGGATGCTGAGCAGCTTCTCTCTCTCGAACTGGGCATTCTCCTGGATCTCCGTGCACTTCTGCTCCAGCTCCAGGACCTTGTTGTCCTGGCCGCCGGCCTCCTCCTCCTGCGCGCGCTCCTGCAGGAGGCTCAGTAGCTTCTCGTTCTCCTGGCTCAGCTGCTCGGCCCGCTCCCGGTGCTGGTGGAAGGACGTCTCCAGAAGGGTCTTCTCGTCCACCAGCTTCTCATTCTCGGCAGTCAGCTCTTGGACCATCTGCTGCTGGTCCGAAAGCTCCTGCAAGGTGGCCTGCAGCTCTTCCGTGGTGCTGTGATGGTTCTCCTCCATCTTCTGGATCTTCTCAGTGAGAGAAGCCACAGACAGGTCGCTAATGTTGTTGGGGGAGCTGCCGCCCGTGGAGCACCGGGGGCTCTTGAAGGGGTTGCTGCCCGAGGACAGGGGCCTGGAAGGAGCCTCGGCTATGTGCTCGAAATCGGAAGCATCAGGAGACAGAGAAGCCTTGGTCACGTCACTGCTCGAGGACCCTGAGGTTCGTAAGGTATTGCCCGTCTGTTTATATTCCTCCATTTCCCCTGAAAGCTGGTTTCTCATTGGGCTTCCAAAGCTTGACTCTTGAGTAGTCGGTGTGGGCAGGCTGCTACCCCCACCGTTGCTCGTGGCCGCCTCCGAGCTGGGGGAATGCTCCATGAACGCCAATTTCTCTTTCAGAGCCCGGTTTTCCTCCCCGAGATCTACTAGCTCTTTTTGGAAATTTCTGTTCTTCTCCTGAAGAGCTCTTATCAAAGGATCTAGATCCCCAGGGGAGGTTGGCAGCCCCTCGCCATTTTGTTCAAAAGCCTCGGCCCCTTCTGCTGTGTTTGGGGACCCTTTGTCTTTGAATTTCTTGAGTTCGCTTCGAAGCCTGCTGATTTCAAAATCTTTTGTTTTGGCTTCTGCCAGGAGTTCCCGGACCTGGGATTCCAGTAATGCCTTGTCCCCAGCTTCATTGTCCTGCTTGGATTTATTGGCGCCTCTTAAGTGCTTGGTAGGAGTCGGGGTACTGGAAGATATTGGACTGGGGATTGGTTTCTTTGCACTGGTGGGACCTCGAAGGGCAGATCTCTCTCTGGAGACGGGTGTGGAAAGCTCTCGAGGAGCCGGAATCCCCGTGCGCTTGGTGGATGAAACCGTCCCTGGAAAAGTGAGAGGAAAAGCAAGGTGAATAAAGAAGTGAGCTTTGTATATTGAGATAAAAAAAATGGTACAGGTCTTCTCGGGTTCCCTGGCTCTAGAGCTGGAAAGAACCAATGAGGTCATCTTACAGAGGAGAAAAGAAACTGAGGCCCAGAGAGGTGCATGGGTTCATGGAGCTAGAGCTGAAAGGGGCTTTCTTTAATGGCATCCAGTCCTACCTCATAGGGAGGTTCATAGGGCATAGCTCTAGAATTGAGAAAGACCTTATTCAATGTCATCCAAACCCTTTGCTTTACAGATGAAAAAACCGAGGCCCAGGGACTTGCCCAGGGTTGCAAGTTAAGTGACAGAGGTGAGGATGAAATGCTACTCCATCACTTCCTACCGGTGTGACCTGGGTTTTTGCCCTGGTCTTCTGCCACCTGGGAATGGAGGATATTCACCTAAATAGAGCTGGAATGACCCTTTGAAGGTCATCTAGTCTCCTCTTACAAATAAGGAAACTGAGGCCCAGAGAGGTGTAGTGATTTACCCAAGGTCACATAGAAGATTTGGTCTCATGCCAACCAAATATTTGATCACTTGGGTAAATACTCTGATATCACTACCATAGGTTTTCATGATTTATCAAATAAAATTTGAATGTCAGGCTCATTACCTTCCTTCCTCAGTGACCTATGTCTGTTTAAAAGTCAGGCTATCTAATCCTGGTTTTGGCTCAGCTTGCTATGTGGCCTTGGGTAAGCCTCTGGGTATTAGTTTCTTCATTCATAATTTCAGGGGCTGATCAAGATGCTGTCTAAGGGCCCTGAGTGAGCACAGGTTGGCCCGAGCCCCAGAAACCATGAGTATTTGTTTATCAGACCAAGACACCCTGGACTGATCCAAGGGTAAAGCTCTCTGGCCTGAGGTGGAAACAAGACATCCGTAACTGCACATGGAATGGGGCCATGGCGAGGTGCGTCTGAGAGACCGATGAGAGCAAACGGCATGAATGATTGCGTTGGCTGCTCAGGCCTGTGCCAGAAGCTTCTGTGGCCTTCTACAGCATGATGCCATAGTCCCTCAGGGAAATGTGAAGAAGTTCACATTTCCATCCATCCCAGGCCAAGGAGGACAATGAGTAATGCATTTCAGGGATAAAAACAAAAGCATCAGTCTTCTAAGTGCCGGGGAAACAAAATCCACCTCCTGACTAGAAAACCCATATACAAAACCAGAGCTGACTCTGGAAGCATAATATGAGAGAGAGAGAGAGAGACAGAGAGACAGAGAGACAGACAGAGAAACAGAGAGACAGAATGAGACAGAGAGAGACAGTGAGGAATGAGAGAGGGAAAGAGAGACAGAGAAAGGAGAGAGAGAAGAGAGACAGAAAGAAAGACAGAGAATGAGAGAGAGAAGGAGAGAAAGAGAGAGGAGAGAGAGAGAAAGAGACAGAGAGAATGACAGAGACAGAGAGAAACAATGAGGAATGAGAGAGAATGAGAGAGAGAGAGAGAGAGAGAGAGAGAGAATGTTCCAGGGAAAAGAACCCCAGCACTAGAGGCCTTGATTACTGAGGATGATTGCTGCAGGGACTTAACATCCCTCAGCCTCACTTTCATCATCTGTCAAATGATGGGGCCAGATTCAAAGGCCTCTGAGGTCCCTCCCAGCACACTGACATGCCACTTCCCTATTAGAACATGAGCTCACTGAGAGCAGGGATTGTGTTTTTGCCTTTCTTTATATCACCAGGACTTAGTACGGTGCCTGAAGCATCCTGTGTGCTCCATGAGTCAAATGATGCATCTAAACCAGTTAACCAAGACACATGCACACACACTCTCTCTGTGTCTCTCTCTGTCTCTCCCAGCTATTACTACTCTTTTTTTGGGGGGGGGCTAGGCAATGGGGTTAAGCGACTTGCCCAGGGTCACACAGCTAATAAGTGCTATGTGTCTGAGGCCGAATTTGAGCTCAGGGCCTCCTGAATCCAGGGCTGGTGCTCTATCCACTGTGCCACCTAGCTGCCCCCCTGTTACTACTCCCTTGGGACTTTCTAAACCTGTCTTGTATGTGCTGTTTCCTGATTAGAGACTGAGCTCCTTGAGAATAAGGACCCCAGCACTTGGCACAGTGTTTGACATAGAGTAAGTCTCATTTTCTTCCCTACCCCTAATAATCTCTAGAACACTGAATATAAAGGAACAGTAAAAAATAGCAAGATAGTGATTTCTACTACCACCCTTTCTGTCTACACCCTATCAACAAGATCAAAAGAATAAGATAATACTACTTCTAACTAGTAGTACCACCACTACCACCACTACCATCACTACTTCTACCACTGTTGCTGCTGCTGCTGCTGCTACCACCACCTAGCATTAATAGTAGTAATTCAAGTTTCCCAAAACTTTCTTTATTTCCCTCATAACCACCTTGTGAGATAAAGCCCATTATTATCCCCACTTTAGAGGTAAGTAAACTGATGTAGGTAGGCAGAGGTTAAGCGACTTGCCCAGGGTCACAGGGCTGGTAAGGGTCTGAGGCAGGATTTGAACACAGGTCATCTGGCTCCTACACCATGTGGCTTGGTGGAAATGACTATCCCCACCTTCCTAGGGATGAGTACTTTCCCCACCCATGCAAATTACGATCATGAATGAGAAAAAGCTGACAATTATCCTGAGCTTTAGGGTTCATATTACTTCATTCTGTCCTCACAATATTATGAAAGAGACCCTAAAAGGATTATCCTCCTTATTTTAAAGAGGAGGAAACTAAGGCTCTGAAGCCCGAAGGGACTGACCCAGAGTTGCAAAGTTGGTTGCACTATTTGAACCCACATCTCTCCCAAGTTCAAGTCCATTGCTCTATCCACAGTACCAGGCTGGCTCAAACAGACTGTTTCTAAGAGCTGCCGTGGCCACAACAAAGCAAAGCCAAAACCCAATCCTTCTACAGCCAACCTGAGGATGACCCCCAGGGACCTGGCGAGGCTGGCACCCAGCTGTCTCTGGGCTTCCGATCCAGCCTCCAAACAGGACCAGATTTCAGTGGATACTGGCAAGGCCCATCTAAGCCTCACTGCGTAGGAATTCTGCCTCTAGCTTTGCAAATGTTTGAGGGAAATTCAGCTATTTTAAGCCTAAAGCATTAAGTTGAGCAAGGGAAAACTACAGAACTCTTCAATTCACTTGATCTCAACTAAATGTTATCACAGGATAATCACAGAACTGAGTCCAACCTGTGTCCTGAGAAATCAATGGCCATCTCATAGTGATGGGGACTACCTCCTGAGGTGATTCATTCCATGCTCATTTTTGATAGCTCTAATTGTCAAGAAAGTTGAGTCAAAAATTGAGTCAAAATCCATCTACATCTTTCACCTATTGATTCTCTGGGGTCAAACAAAAGCATCCCTAAATCCTTCTTTCCAAGGGGAATATTTGCAAATATTTGAAGATAGCAACACTCTCTTCTATAGGTTAAAAATTTCCAATTCTTTCAACCAATCCTCTCATAGCACCAGATCAAATTCCCTGCTCTGACTATGCTCCCCCCCAACTCATTTGTGTGGCATCGAGGATTGGGGCACCGAGGACCTTGAGGACCCCTGAAATCATGAATTCAAGTCAACAAAACTTAAAAGTACTTACTGTGAGGACGGCAACAGAAATATGAAAGCCCTGCCCTCAAGGACATGACATTCTACTAAGGGGACAGAGCACGTGCACAGATAAGTTTGTATTGGGTATCTGGGAGATTTGGACCAGAGCTGGTATTACATTGCTGTGGGGAACAACTCTAAGAGGGAAAACTCCTCCCACCAATGTAGATCTGCAATTAAACAGTCTTAGAGAGCATTAAGAAATTTAAGTAACATGCCCAAAGTTACAGGATGTATTAGAGAGGGAATATGAACCCAGGTCTTACTGGCTCCAAGGTCAATTATCTATCCACTACATAACTGAAGCATACATAGTATGCAGTGTGTGTGTGCGCGTGTGTGTGTGTGCATGCGCGCGCGTCTGCGCGCTTGCAGGGAATCAATTAAGTCAACAAGGAAATATTAAGCACCTACTATGTGCCAGGCACTAACTTAGACAGGGTGGTATAAAGACTACAGTGATGTAGTCCCCACCCTCAGGGAGCTTCCAGGAAAAATAAAGCTCCTTGGAAAAGGTGGCATCTGAGCTGAGATTTGAAAGGATTCCAGGACATGAGACAGAGATGAATATTAGTGATGATAATGAGGATGCTAACAGCTCCTATTTAGAGACCTTTTGAGGTTTGCAGAGCAAGAGAGTGTATTAGAGGGCAGGACCTTCAAGCTAGGAAAACAGATTCAAGTCTCACTTCTGACACATACTGGCTGAGTGACCTTGAGCAAGTCACTCCTCCCTCTCAGTGCCCTAGTCCACTCTCTAAAACTATAAATTGCAGAGTTATGGGAAGCCTTCCCCAACCCCTTAATTCCAGTCCCTTCCTTTTGTTAATTAGTTCCCATCTATCTTGTATACAACATAGCTTGTTTGCACGTCATCTCCCCATTAGATTGGAAGCTCCTTGAGGACAGGTTTGTCTTTTGTCTCTTTTTGCATCCCAGAGCTCCAGCGAGGTGACTGGCACATAGTAGGAGTTTAATAAGTGTTTATCAACTGACAGATCTGCACTGGAATGAAGTCTCAGGTCCAGTACCTAACAAGTCTCTATCCCTTCAACGTATGCAGAGCACTTTACAAAAATCTTCTCTCATGTGATCCTTACAATCTCGGGGTTAAGTTCTATTATTAGCCCCATTTCATAAGTGAAGAAACCACCAGTGTGAGACAGGTTAAGGGACTTACTTACCAAGAGCCACAGACTAATACTAAGAGTCTGAGGTGGAATTCACACCCAATTCTTCCTGACTCAAGCTCTGCTATGGCACAGTGAGTGTGTCTCTCTGGGTGGGAAAGCATTCTGGGCATGGCGTGGGGTGCAAAAGTATGGTGGCACCTCCTAACAGAGA